ACTACAGGAGAAGAAATGGGACGCTCTGGTGATCGGCGCCGGCCACAACGGGATGATAGCCGCCGCTTACCTGGCTCGGGCCGGCCTCTCTGTCGCGGTGCTCGAGCGCCGTCACATCGTCGGTGGCGCGGCTGTGACCGAAGAAATCATCCATGGCTTCAAGTTCTCGCGCTGCAGCTACCTCCAGAGCCTCCTCCGTCCCTCCATTGTCAGGTAGGTCTCAATCTCGCATAAATTCTTCGCTAAAGATGCCGTGATCATTGAGAATTTGCTTACACAAGTAAATGGGAAACAAAAGGAATTTCACATATCCTAGTCTTTTCTTTTTTGGTATGTTCCTGGGATTGAAGAGAGCTACAGTTGAAGCGGCATGGCTTGAAGTTGCTGAAGCCACTGGCAACTTCTTTTACGCCGTGTCTAGACGGACGTTACCTTCTACTGGGGCATACAGAGGAGCAAAACTACTCGGAGATATCGAAATTCTCGAAACAGGATGCGGATTCTTATCTAAGGTACTGGTGTGATGCAGTGCTGGAGGCATATAGATTCATAGATCCATTATGTATAACTGGCAGGAATTAAACTATAGTGTATTGAATTGTGGAAATTTAATTTTATAATGAATTTCAAATTTTGAACTGTAGATTTTTGTAAGGTTGAGATTCCTAAGATGCTAAAACATGTATTGATTTGCCAAAACATTTTGATTCTGTTTAATGTGAATCATTTTCCTCGTCACAGATATGAAAGTCAGCTGTATAAGTTCTGTAAATTAATGGACTTTCTTCTGGACTCACCCACTCCTGAAACCTTACATGGGAATTCATCATTTACTGATTGGCTAAGGGATAGACTTCATAAATCAGTATTTTGGGGTCGCTGTGCAAGGCACATTTTCTCTTTGGGGCAAAAGGATATGGTGTAAGTAACACTTTTTTCATAGACAAGGATGGATGACTTGTTTTTGCCTACTGTTTCTGGCCTGATTATTCCATCAGAATCCACTTCAATTTGACCAACTCCAACTTCTGTCCATGTACCAGGGGTTGTGAGGCTTTTTTAATTGCAGTACCTTAATGTATCTTCAAATTTTTTGGCAGGGACTTTTTGGACTTTCTGCTGTCCCCTACATCAAAGGTTTTGAACAAGTGGTTTGAGGTAGTTACTATTACTTTTTATTTGAACATGAGGTAGTTATTATTTTGGTTATGTTCAAATACTTCAAAAAGAAAAAGGAATGTCTGCACTTCCATAATTTTTTAACACTCCTTCTCTTAACTCTGTTTGTCATGGACACAAGTCTTATTCAGTAATAGGTTCTCTTTATGCGGCCCTCACCCACTTCAGTAGAATGCTTTGAATGTGTGGTAAACCAACCATGCATGTTTTTGTGACGCTGTATAAGAGTTGTGAGTAAAAAATACATTTAGTGGTAACATTGTGATGATTGTTATTCTAAACACTGAAGTCCTTGGGCAATGTATAAATTGGTTTTGGCTTGAAAACTGAAATGGAGAACGAGTTTATAATGTCTTTGCAAATATGAAACTTATTAATATAAGATTGTGTTGGAGTTTTCTATTCATAATTTTTCGTGACTGAATTAAATGATTTTAATTAGATGAAAGACTTATGACAGTTAAAAATTATGTTTTATGTGTTGTTGGGAATGTTTGCAGACAGATCTACTGAAGGCAGCACTTGCTGGAGATGCTATTATTGGGAGTATGGTGAGACCTTTATACTTGTTGAAACAATGAAAATATTTGTTGAGATTTCCAGAGTTGCATGCTATGATATAAAACTAGAAGATAATCTAGAGATAAAAATATATGTTCTCCTCTAAGAATCAATCCAAAATGCAGGGTGCTAAATGTACTCAGCACATTTCTTCCCTTCTTTGGCATGGCACCCTTAGTAACATACAATTATCTGGACTTTCTCTTCATGGTCAGCTGAGTATAAATCATAATAGAATGATAAAATGATGACCCATTATTGAACTGACTAAAGTCATGTGACATGCTCCCCCCAGAGTATCTATATAAAGAAGAGGTTATAAAGGATTTCGACATTTTCTAGTGAGGGCTTTTCAATTAGTGAAATGATAGCTTGTCCAGTAACTTTAAGTGTTAATAAATTAGTATCTTCGGTTTTGTTTTATAGGCAAGTATCCATACACCAGGAAGTGGGTATGTTCTACTGCATCATGTTATGGGTGAAACTGATGGTGAGCGTAACGTATGGTCGTAAGTATCTGCAATGAAAATTAAATCTGTAGATGAGTGATTGGTGTGGTGGTTCTACACTACAAAAAGTTTTCATGCAAATTGTTAGGTTCAAAATTGGATCTTGTTAGTTAGTCTGTATGAATTTCTTTTGCTGATAAAATAAAATTAAAATCTATTTGAATTTCTTTTCCCTCACTGTTCTGTCGCTTTTAACATTGTGATTTCTTTTCATTGGATTAACCTGTTTGTCAATTCATTTAGCCATTTTACTCTTTAATTGCTGCATATTCATATTAGTACTTTGAACCAAAATCATAAATAAAAGTTATGGACAGGGGCATTATGAGAATGCTTAGATTGGATTCAAATTCTCAGTTTCTTGCAATGTGTGGACTAGATTTAAAAATGCAGTCTTGTGCTTTTGTTGCATACAAGATTGAATTTGTAGAATGCTTAGATATTCTTAAAAATTTATTTGTTTCCTTTGGCCTTCTATTGAATGCTTAGTTGATAAAAAAGTTTTCATATACCATTTCAGTTGAAGCAAATTGTATATTGTTAACCATTAGAGTACTATTGAAGATGTCCAAGTTAATATTTCTACTTATTGTGGAATCTGTTAATAACATGCAATGAGCACTACCTGTAGGCATGTTGAAGGGGGGATGGGTTCTGTATCAATGGCAATACATAATGCTGCTATAGAAGCTGGGGTCAATATTCTGACAAATGCAGAGGTTTTTCTTACCTTCTTCCTCTATTGCATCAAAATTTTAGAATTTTTTACTCCATTGCCTAGCAAATTTCATTACTTAATTTTTATTTTGTAATAAACTTGTTGATGTTTTATTTCCATCATTATATTTGATATGTTGAGCCAAATGCAACGTGGTTCTTCTAGATAACTATCAACTCTAATAAGAGAGTTGTTTTATTATATTCTTTGTAGGTTTTGCAATTGTTGATTGGAGAGACTGGTACAGCAAAAGGGGTTAGTTCACTTCTTGGACTGCCTGAACAATTAAAACTTGAAGTGTTTCATCAAATAATCAGACATCCATTCCATGTTGATAATCTAGGTGTTGCTGGCTGATGGCACAAGAGTACGTTCTTCAGTTGTCTTATCAAATGCAACACCTTACAAGACTTTCATGGTACATGTAACATTGCTTCTCTTATATATATATATATATATATCGCTATTTTAATGACTTGGACAAGCATTGATCAAAATAATCTGCTAATAAAAGAAAAAGTGTTAGAATTATACTGGGAAGAAGATAATCTGCTAATAAAGACTTTCATGTTCATTTATTTTTGTTTTTCTTTGCTTGCCTTTACTACTTTTCCTTCAGGTTAAAAGGTTGTGTTTTTCTGATGTAGGAGTTGGTGCCTCAAGGTATTCTTCCTGATGCTTTTCTTCGTGCCATCAAGTTCTCTGACTACAACTCTGTAAGATCTATTTCCAAAAAGTCTTTACATGCTTTTGCACTTGCAAGCTGGTTGTATGTTCTATTTACACTGCTGACAAAGAAATAAAATGGGATATAATACTTAGATATTTGAAATTTGACATTGTGGTGCTTTTTTTATGCTTGGAAGTTACTCAAGAAAGTTGTACTAACCAATAACTAGAACAGGGAACCACAAAAATCAATGTGGCTGTTAATAAGTTGCCACAATTTCGGTGTTGCAAGTCTAATAATCCAGAGGTGGGTCCTCAACATACAGCAACTATTCACATTGGTTGTGAAAGGTACAATAAAACATACTTGGTCACACTTTTTTCTTTTTTCTCGTAGGGGATAAAAAGGCACCATATTTTCAGTATTCATATTGGGGACAAATAATTTCAGTTCCTCTGAGGCATATTTTTAATTCTGCTGGTATTAACTTTTTCTAACTATGTTTTTTCTAACCCTATGTATATAGAGGAGGTCTTATCAGTTTGACATCTTGCCTAAGCTTCTGCTACTTAGCTGCCAGTTATGTGGCGACTCGGCTCTCACTCATATAATACATGTAATGTATACACTAATGTCAATAAACAACTCAATAAAGTTCTCTATATAGCTGTTTCACAATAATATGCATGCTAAACAACTTTGTCACTGTTCCAATCTGCTAGGTTTCAAGTTACATATCTATGTTATTTGTGGGGCAAGTTACTACCATTTTGGTGATATTACCTTACAAAATTTATCATCTTATTTCTTTTCCATCCCTTTGATTGTGTTAAAGTATGGAGGAGATTGGCTCAGCTTGTGCAGATGCTTGGAATGGCTTGCCATCAAGAAGACCTGTTATGGAGATGACTATTCCTTCTTCATTGGACAAGACTATTTGTCCTCCTGGTATAACTAATACAATCTTCTTTCCACCTTTTTTCATAATGTTCCTGATAATCTTGTATAGATTTTATCCTTGAAATTTCTGATATATCATAGAAGAAGGTTTGGTGCAAAAATCCCTGTCTAGAGTGCAGCAGAACTGTTTTTAGAAGAAGATCACCAATTTACTTTGCAGAATCCATTCCCTTAGTCTGTGCTTAGCAATTATTTCCCAACAATGACAATGTATAACTAAGCATGGCTTATTGTCTTCAAATTATCCTTTTATTTGATCTAACCAACTGCAAGTCTGCAATGGAGGAATGGGATTAAATTTAGGAGATGGAACATTTTGGGGGAGACTGATTATTCTGTACTCTACCAACTCTACCATCATAAGTTCAGTTGATCCATACTTCAAGTTATCATAGTGGAAATTTCACACATTCTAATAGTGGTATTATACCTGCATCAAGTTACTTTGTGTTTACTGATCACACATGAAATGATATTTGTTGTGTTTCCTTACAGGTAAGCATGTGATTAGCTTGTTTACACAATACACACCCTATAAACCCTTGGATGGAAGTTGGGATGATCCTATATACCGAGTAAATTTCATTTATAACTAATGCCATGTATTTACACTCCTCCCAGTGGTACTCTAGATTACTTGTAAGCTGCATGATAGCTGAAGGATCACTGTCTCTACAGGAATCATATGCAAAGAGATGTTTCTCATTGATTGATGAATATGCTCCTGGTTTCAGCTCATCAGTCATTGGTTACGACATGCTGACACCAGTTGATCTTGAAAGGGAATTTGGTCTTACAGGTATAGTACTCTGCAGTTGTCAGCCTTATCGATATCATATTATATTGAAGTGTCATTGTGCAGTTTTCTAGGGGTAGCTAAAATATCTTCTACATGATGCTTACTAGGTAATGCAAACATAAATTCTCGGACTCAATAGAACTTTGCATGACAATGCCCAACACACACACTTTGCTCTGCTGTTTGATCAGCCAGACTATGAAACGTATCAAACTTTTATGGATTGTGTACCAGAGAAAAACTTAAATGGCTTACCGGTTTATTCATTTGTTAAATCTTCTATATCTTGTATTGCATAATAGGAGGGAATATTTTCCATGGTGCCATGTGTTTGGATTCACTTTTCTTGATGCGACCTGCAAAAGGATGGTAATTCTTTAAACACTTATTACATGATCATAAGTGGAGCCAAGACTATGATATTCAAACTATGTTTGTGTCATAAATTTTGTAACATGACTGAAGAGTTTCTATGTTCTTCCATTCACAGGTCAGGTTATAGGACACCGGTACGAGGGCTATACATTTGTGGAAGTGGCGCACATCCCGGAGGCGGAGTGATGGGTGCCCCTGGCCGTAATGCTGCTCTCTCTGTCCTTCGGGATTTGAAGAAGCATTTCCGATAGCAAAATTCTAAAGACCCAGGATTGTTGGTGCTTGTATATTTATTGAAATTTGAATGGAGCCAAATGTATTATTAGTGATTACCCCATATTGCATCCGAATTCCTTGGTATTTCTGTGTATAGCCTGGATTAATTTTTGAGTTCGTCGTAGCTTTTCAAGTTTCACCATTTTCTTTCATTGCGTATTTGGGTCAACTCTTTTTTTTTTTCTTTTTTTTTTTTACATTTGATAATAGATTAAATTTTTTGCATGGATTTAAAAAAATTAAAATATCTCAATATTTTAATTATCAAAAAATGATAATAAAAAAATTAAAAAATTAAAAAATGTATAAAAATTAACACATGTAAAAAAAATTAGTAAAAATATTTAAATAATTTTTATATAAAATGTTAGTATATATTAATTTTTATTTTGTTATTTGTTTATCTTTTGGTTTTGGTATTGTCTTTCCATATATATTTTTTTGCATTTAATAGGGTGTGCTTTTGGGATCCTCAATCCAAAAGTCCTTTTTACGGTCGAGTAGAGTATGCACTGTAAAACAAAGAAAACGACTCTCCCTGTGAATTCATTAGAAACCCCGACAAATAAAGATGGCACGGTCTCCACATTCTCCAACATGGACTCCCGTGGTCCGCCATTCGTCAAATCTCTTTTAATCCCAAGTCTCTTCTTAAGATTGTCTTACAGAATCGCACCTGTTTCTTCGAGTTAAGTGATTTTCAGGTCATTTTGAAGGTGCAGCCTTTCTTTTTTTGATGAGTTCGAATTTCGAATTTCACCCATAACATTTTATTCAAAAAAAATAGAAGAAGAAGATTGAGTTACAGAACCTGTATAAGGTTAGACTTTGGGTAAACGCTTTAATATTTAAATTAGTGGTAATTTAATCTACTTTAAAAGAGAACAAAAGGATAGGTGGATTTTTTTTTTTAACATACTATAATTATTTACATAATAATTATAAAATAAAAAAATGATTTCATAGGATTTAAATAAGTAATTTATAGAAGATAAATAATTTTAACTTAAGGTTCAATACTATTAAATCGGTCGGAATAAATCATTTAAATAAGTATATTTTAATTACCTATAAATATATTTATAGATCTTAAAAAGATATTTATATGACTTTTTTAATGAAATAATAAAGATTTTAAATAAAAACTAAGAAAATTGATTTAAAGATAATTTTTTATATAATTTAATATATTATTTAAATAATTAATTTTTTATTTATTTAAAAAATAATATTAAATATATTTATATTTAAATAATTAATTTTTTATTCATTTAAAAAATAATATTAAATATATCTATATTAAAAAATTATATAAAAAATTATTTTTATATCACCATAAAAAAATTTAAATAAATATAATTATCATATAATTAAAAAAT